TGCAAAAAAAAAAATGAATCTAAGCACAGACTTTACACTTTTCACAAAAATAACTCAAAGGGAATCATAGATCTAAATGTAAAATGAAAAACTGTAAAACTAGGAGATAACACAGGAAAAAATCTGAATGTCCTTGGGTAAGGCAATGACCTTGAAATGGAACCCAAGACATGACTCATGGAAGAAAGACTCGATAAGCTGAACTTCATTAAAACTAAAAACATCTACTCTCAAAAGACACTGTCAGGAACATGAGATTAGCCGCATACTGAGAGAGTATATTTGCAGAAGACGTACTTGATAAAGGACTATTATGCTAAATATACAAAGAACACTTAAAACTTAACAACGAGAAAATGGACAACCTGATTTAAAAAATGGGCAAAGGCTTGAACAGACATTTCACCAAATAAGATATATGGATATCGTATTGGCATATGAAAAGATGCTCCCCATCATATGTCATAAGAGCACATTACAGCAACAATGAGATACTATTGCATACCTATTAGAGTGGCTAAAATCCAATACACTGACAACAACGAATGCTGGTGAGGACGTGGAGTGACAGGGCCTCTTACACATTGCCAGTAGGAATGAAAATTGGTATAGTCAGTAAACAGTTTGATAGTTTCTCACAAAATCAAAAATACTCTTACAAATGATTCAGCAGTTGAATTCTTTGTTATTTGCTCAGCTGAGTTGAAAAGTTACCTCCACACAAAAATCTGCACATAGAGACTTATGGAAGATTTATTTATAAGTGCCAAAACTTGAAAGCAACCAAGATGTCCTATAGTAGGTAAATGGATAAATAAACTGTGGTACATCCAGACAATGGAATATTATTCAGCGCTAAAAAGAAATGAGAAAGTCCACATACTGTATAATTCCAATAATCTGACATCTGACATTCTGGAAAAGACAAAGTTATGGAGACAGTAAAATGATCAGTGTTGTCAGGAATTAGGGAAGAAAGAGGGACAGGTGGAGCACAGAAGACTTGGAGAACAGTGAAACTATTCTGCATGATACTCTTCGTCTCACTATATCAATTTCTCTTTTCCTGAGACATTCTCATCAGCATACTAAATGCTCTAAAATCTTCCATCTGGAAAAACAACCAAAAAAGAAATCTTTCTCCCATGACTCAATGTTCCCACCAACTGCTGCCTCAAAGCTTTGCTCCCCTTCACAGGCAAACTTCTTGAAAGTTGTCCATATTTACAGTATCCACTTTATTTTTTTTTAAGGTTATTACTTTGAGAGAGACTGAGTGTGAATGAGGGAGGGGCAAAGAGAGAGGAAGAGAACGAGAATCCCAAGCAGGCTTGGTGCTGCCAGTGCAGAGCCTGATGCAGGGCTTGAAGTCACAAAACTGAGATCATGACCTGATCTGAAACCAAGAGTCAGATGCTTAACCGACTGAGCCACCCAGGTGGCCCCTGTGGCACCCACTTTCTTATTCTCTCCCCCACCCTTTCTAATGGGGGCTTTGGTCCTCACTATCTTCTGAAACTGCTCCTCCCAAGGTCAACTATTACCTCCACAAGGTCAACTGCAATGACCACTTTCTTGTCCACCTCTTACTTCTGTATTTGACATGACTTCCTTCAGAAAATATTCCTCTTCCCTGATTGCATCATGGCATCCTTTCTGGTTTTGTCCCACTTCGCTGTTACACCTCACCACTGTCCCACCTGACTACACCGTCTCCATCTCCTTCACTGGCATTTCCTTCTTAGCTTTCCCCGTATTTGTTGATGTCCTCAGCGCTCAGTCCTGGGCCCTTTTCTCTATTTTACTCCCCTCTTAGGTGAACCATTGATTCCCATGGTTTTCTCTTCTCCCATATGCCAATAACCTCTTTTCTGCATGTGAGGGTCTCTGACTCCAAGCTCTACACGTCTGATAGCAACATGAGACAGGTGGTAGGCATGGAGTGTCTCATCTCTTTGACCACAGCAATGGTTATCCTGCCTGGTTAGCAAATTAAGATATGTCTGGAGACAAAAAAAAAAAAATAATAAAATTTATGATTTGGAAAGACTATTACTTATCATTATAGAAGATTTCTTATGGTAAATTATCTTATTATTTCAGCATAAGAAAGCTTATTTCTTACCACAATAGCCAAACACATTGTGTTTTGTTTCAGTTTTAGGCTTCCTGGCTCTAAATATAAAAGTGAACTAAAGTCAGCTAGGGTGCAAATTTTCCATGCGTGGCCTACCTTCCCTCTTCCCCTAATTTTGTAGTTGGAAACACCTTAAAAGGGAAAATAACTCCCCTTTGGGCAAAGTGAAGCAAAAATGTAAACTGCATCTTACACTATCTTGAAGAAATGTATATTTCCCATCATTACACTTCTTGGTCAGGAGTAGACTCTTGAGAGAAAATGGGGAAAAGAAATAGAAAAGTAGCAAAGCACATGCATAAAATCATAAAAATAGAAGAGATGGCTGTGTGAGAGCTTACTTAAAAAAAAAAGCTGATCTATTTAATACTCATGCCAGCTGAATTTTTAGCATCTCTAAGAATAGGTTGGTATCAATAAAAAAATGGGCTTTCTTCATCAAGTTTCCCAGTCTCTGCTGAATTCAGGTTGCTATTTACTCTCCACCTTTTCGGACAATTGGTTTAGCCCCTAATTCAGTCCTCCTCTCTAGGGAACTTATTCCTTCAACAAAATTTCTGTTTATTCACCACTGTATGATCGCCATTCAGTACCACCCCCCTCCCCACATGCCCTGAAGCAAAGGAGATCCTCTCTCCATACCCCTGACCCCCCATCTATCCAAATGCCTAGTCAATATTCTGGTAATTCCTACAGAAGTGACCATACATAGAAACTATAAACTTTAGAAGAACTGTAATTATGAATCAATGTGGGGTTACTAGTAGGCTTAGAAAGGAGAAGTAAGGAAGAATATTGCTGTGGAAATTAATATTGGAGACAGAGGGCTGTTTTTATGCTGTCTTTTGGAAACTGTCTCCATTATGCCTTGTTCTCAGTTGCAGAGGGGAGTTTGGGGGTGAAGAAGTGAAAGAAAGTGTGCTTCTTAAGTAAGATCATACAATATGCATTTCATTGTCTCTGAAACCACTGGTCCTATAAGTTTATTGTTCAAGTGTTGTATTTTACAGCCATAATCTGTGAGGTTATAACCTTTGAGCTATATGCAAAGGCACAAGAACACATTATGGAAAGATACAAACCTCCCTCTCCCTGCTTTCAAAGGCTTCTGCAAAGAGGCAGGCAGCACAAAGAAAGATGTTGTTAAACAGTGAAAGTCTAAGGGGCACGTTGTAAATTTTTCTGCAGAGCAAATAGTGCATGATCAGAAAATAGGGTAATGAATAAGATTGAAACTGGGCAAACCAGTGCTGAAATCAACAGCAGGAAGGAAAAAAGAGGTTGGGGGAAAGTTAGCAGGCACTGAATTCTTTATAAGCTGTGGGAATTTGGGGGAAAGTGTCAAACTATTATCGAGCCAGAGAGAAATTTGGCCATGCCTAAGGATGGTAATGACTGGAAGGTGGAATCTGGTAAGAAGGATGAAGCATGTAAGTTGAAGTTAAGATCTCTTTTTTCTTTTTTTGAACAGCTTTATTGAGATATGATTTACATATCAGAAAGTTCACTTGTTTAACATGTAGAATTTAATGGTTAATGTGCAATCAATACCATAATCTAACTTGAGAAGATTTTTATCATCCTCCAAAGAAACCCCGGTACCCATTAGCAGTCATTTCTGTTTTCTCTTCCTCCCAGTCCCTGTCTCCATGGATTTGCCTGTTCTGGAATCTCACATGAATGGAATCATACAATATATAGTCTTTTGTGACCGGCTTCTTTCTCTAGGCATCACATTTACAAGGTTCATTCATGTTGCAACATATGTAAGTTCTTCATTTCTTTCATGGACAAATAATATTCCATTGTATGGGCAGACATACCACATCTTGTTTATAATATCATCAGTTGATGGACATTTGGGTTATTTCCACTTTTTGCCTCTTATGAATAATGCTGCTATGAACAATCATGTACAAGTTTTTGTGTGTACATATTTTTTCATTCCTCCTGGGTAGATACCCAGGAATGAAATTGCTGGGTCATTGGTAACTCTATGTTTAACATTTTGGTGAATTGCCAAACTATTTTCCAAAGTGATGCTCTGTTTACATTTCCACCAGCGATGGATGAAAGTTTCAATTCTTCCACATCTTTCTTATCACTTGTTATTGTCTGTCTTTTGATGTTAGCCATCTCAGTGAGTATGAAATGGTTCCTTATTGTGCTTATGACTGGCCTTTCTGTAATGACTAATGAAACTGTGCACTTATTAATGCAGTCTTAAGCCATTTTTCCTGTCTTTCTTGCTACTACATGTTCATTCATTATTCCTCAATCTTCCATCATCTCCTTTCCCTGGAGATATGGCAAAAAACCTGGATACACAGGACCTGTATTTTCTGTGCTGAAGCTATCTTCCAAGGAAACTCAAGGACAAGTTCATTACTATTGATTCTGGACAATTGAAATCACCAAATTTGGTTTAATTCAAGACAATGGACTTTTATTAAATGCTTTGGTGGTATTTATGTTCAAAGTACTGGAATATCATACATTTATTGACCATAGGCTTGAAAGTTACTAGAAATATAAGTCCATCAATAAGTATAAAATAAGGAAGAATTAAGTAAATATCATAATAAAACTGCCAAAGTGTGCTATCTATGACTGATATGAAAACCTTCAAAATATACTTACCCTTTGACTCAACCATTCATTACTAGAAATCTATCCTAGGGAAATGATTGCTTATTTCCACAAATGTTTAGGTATAGTGATGTTTGCCTGAGTGTTATTTTTCATGGTACAAAATCCAACAGTTTGATAGGTAGGTAAATAGATTATGACATATCCACACACTGATTACTCATTTATTTAAAATGATTTACAAATATATTTGTTATATACCATGTACAATATATGGGAAATTTCCAGCGTCAGGAAAAAAAGGCAGAAATGAAAACCAGAGCAATAAGTGGGAAAGCTAGTGCTCCAACTGGCTTGGAGAGAAGAGGTTGGGGAAGGGCTATTAGATTCCATTTCCTAGGATTTGGATCTTGACATTCACGTGGGGACAGGAGGCAAGAGCTAGGGTACTTGGCTATACAGCATACGGCCAGACTCCTTGAAGGACTACCACCAGAGAAGGCGTGGATTTAGGAAAATTCTCCTCTGCAGTAGAGGTCACATGGAATTCTGTCTGGCTTGCCTAGTGTCTCGGTAGAAAAAATGAATATATTTTGAAATTTTGTAATCATGAACCGTAACTCATGTGGGATTGGAACCCAGATTTTACTGCCTAAGTTCAAGAGGATCCCAATGTAGGAAATTAAAAAAAAAAAAAAATGCCTTCTGCGCAGAGGCCCCAGGGTGCCTGTCAGAAGACAAGAGAAATACACGTCTGGACACATGTCTGAGGACACATATCTGAGGACACATGTCAGCAATGTAGACTGCACAGGTCACCAGCAGATCAAGTTCAAGGAAGAAAAAGCACATAATCCACAATTCAAAGTCAGTTTCTTCTACTTCATAGATGTTTTTTTTCCCACTACAAGATTCTTCATTTTTCAAAAGTCTGAAAATAAGGTCCACACTCATTCTTATCACTATCATCTTTACATATTCCTTCTCGTTTCTTTCTGGCAGCCTGGTCATCCTGCCTTGGTTAAAACATAAAATCATGACAAGCCAGTGTCAGTGAGGATGATTTCTGAGTGGAACTGAATGGGCTCTTTTAATTTGCTGAATCATAGCCTGCCAAAACTATCCATGAGATCAGGAAACAGTTTTCTGTTTGGCTTTTTAAATGTCCTTGCTTATGCTTTCTTTGTGGTTGGCATTTTGTGATTATGCCATTGTTTGCAGTTGTAGGTACGCGTATTTTGTTTCTGCTTCTTTGAACTGTTGTCATCCATTTGATTCATTGCACTGCAGTTCGGTTTTGTATCATAAATGCCCACCAGTGTATCTGCAATGCTTTGCTTTGCAACATCCACTCAACTTTGTCCTGGCTTTCTCTCTGCTTTCAGTTTCTCCTTGCTATTCACAACTGGTTCACATTCTTCAGGTATCAGTGAACATCGTGCTTCAACCATCAGTATTCTTTTAAAGGAGTTGATGCTGTTTACTTCATAACTTGTGCAAGATATTATTATTATTGTTACAATACCACCACCACTTTGGAACATTCCACTCTAGGTTTCTGCTGACTTGTACTTCTTCAGTGATGGTGTAACATATTTGAATGGAAACTCAATTTTTTGAAGCCTTGTTCATTGCTTTAGAGACACATCTGGCTGGATATCCTTGTTTTTGTTCTTTCCGAGGATTTCAAGTTTTAGTTTAAGCTTGGAGGCAGTGTCCTCCACACAAGTGGCCCTGTAGATTATAATGAGGACTGGGAGAAGCAGAGAAATGGCATCTTGTGAGGAGCCGCTTGAGGTTACAGAGCTAATTCACCTGAAAATAGAACACCCAGGAAAGTCATAAGGGCTGTCCCCAGATATTGGGGTAATGGGGTAGAGGGAAGAATAATTCAGGAGGGCATTGGAGCTTCACTGCGCTGAGGAAACTGTTAACCAAAACTGTGCAACAACTAGATAGATGACATTGCAGATGAGTGTTTTTTGTTAGTGGGGTTTGAAGGATCAGACATAAGCCTCAAACCCAGACCCAGGGCTTCACTCCCTTTTAGATTTACACAATACACATTCCATAGTAGGAAGAAAAAATAATTGTGTGAATTATATACACAATTCTCTTAAAATTTAATTGATTTAATTATGAGATGAAGCTTGGAAATAGGGTGTCATTATATTTTATACCCCTTTTTGTCTCTTACCTTTAGGGGAAGAGAATTTTGTGATGTCTCTAATATTCTTTTTATGATTTAAATGTCCTTCCCCTTGGGGCATCATGTATTAAAATAAGACAGCACTTTGGACAAGTAGCTTTTATTTTCTTTTTGGAATAGTCATTAAAGTATACAAGTTAAGAAATATGAAGGATCTTTTGTTCCTAAGAAATATAGTCACCTAAACTACATGGATGAATGTACTCGTGGATATAATTGGCTCTTTACTTTTTTCAGCTCCTAAGGAAATTTAGTTATAAGTTCTAAACTACCGAAAGGTTCTCTTATAAAGAGAAATCCTTACAAGAAAACAAAATAAAGCAGAAAGAAAACTAGTAAAACCCTGAGTAGAAGTCAGTTGTTCCACTGTTCCACAATGGGGCACTCTTGAGGTTTGCAAGTTGACCTTTTAATAGATAGGAAGGGAACCGTGTTACAAATGATCACTTACTAGGTAATGCTTTGGTTTCCTATAATGAGTTGTGTAATGCGTATTTTAACTTAAGTGAGGATGACAAGTCCTCACCAGAGAACTGAGTATATATTTGTATAATTTCCCTTCAAAAGTGCCACCATCTCCTGTTGAGTAGTATCAGTTGGGTCTGAATTCTTTGGAGACGTGAACAAGTATACAAGTGATGTGCTAGACTAAACTTTTTCTTCTAGGCTTTGCATTTGTGAATATGGAAAAATTATTTCAGTCATTAGACTATTTTTAGGTATTCCAAAGGCCCTAAAGTCCCATTAACTTTTGGTCATTTCAAAAATAATGCTGTGTATCAATATTAGGTTGAGGTGGTATAATATATAAATAACCTGTGAGTTCATTTACACTGTGGGTATTTCAGTGAAATAGCAAACTGGTTATTTGACATTGTATACATAGACCAAATGATTAATTTATTGGTTCTATTGTTCTTTAAAAATGTTTCTTTTGCCATCATGAATGAATATAGGTAGGTACGTATTTTTCTAGCTCATGTTTTTGTTTCCTTTCGGATAAAATAGCTCTTGTATAAAAGAACAATTTTGAAAAGAAAGGGGAAAATGAATCTGTATGTAAATCAAGTTTTCATACCTACATATTACTTAGAGAGAGGAGACATGAACTCTGGTGGCGTCTTGCTCTACTTACCTAAACCTATTGCTAAAATCATTTATCCAGGGATGAACTCACTGGAGAAATACATGGTACATTGAGGAGGAGGAGAGAATGAATGGAAACCTGTACCGAGAGATAATATGTCTCACTTCCTCTCATATACCTCTTCTGACCCTCCCAGGCATTGCAGATCTTACAGAGGGATGGTATTTAAAGATGGGAGAAGTTTCAGAGGCCATTCAATCCATATTTGCATCCAATGGGATCTTAAGTATCCCAGAAAGAAAGACATTCGGCTTTTGCTTACTTACCTACATCCAGGGAAAGACAGCACTCTGCCTGCCAGGGCAATCTCTTCAAATGATGAATTTGTAAAGGTCTTGTTCCTGTGGCTTTGAAAAGTTGTATTTTTGTTACTTCAGATTTGCTGGCCTCTGAGGGCTCTCATAGTTGCAAGAGCCCATACCATCGATCTCTTTTGTGTTACGTGACCTCCTGTAAAAGAAGACAGCACCATAGTCATTGTCAGGCCCTTATCACAATGCCTGCAAATTATAGCCATTGAAGAAATGTTGATTGCTGCATTAGTGTTTCTGGGGACTGGAATGGCTCATGACTCCAGCCACTCCACCATTGTGTTATTACTCTTCTTGCCTGAGCATAATGGAACCTGTCCTTAAAGACTACCACGTCTGTATACCAACTAAAGCTAATTTAGTGGGTAGAAAGAGAGTCAGAAATCTTATGTTTGCTATGTAATTTTTTTTCCTGATCGTAAAGCAAAGTTGGTTCATTGGCAAATGTTTGTAAAACATAGAAGAGTACGGAGAACAAAATGAAACAATCTGTATTCGTATCCCTCAGGGGATTCCATTTTGCATGTATGTGTATGTACACTTGTGTAGAAGTGTGTGTGTGTGTGTGTGTGTGTGTGTGTGTAAATCCTGAGAATATGCCTTGCACCTCTTCTTGGATGTGTGAACCTTTGTCTTTCTTCGAGGGGAGGGGGTCACAGAATGTGAGACAACATAAAAAGTCCCACTTAATGTTCTGTTTTCATATACATATGTTATAATCTATACTTAATATAATGGAATGATAATTTGAAACAATAGTGGATTTATTTTTTTCTCCCCATACTTCCTGCTTCCCCTATCACTTTTCCTCAGGTGGGTCAGGCGACAGGAAGCCTCTTTAAGGGAAGCTGTCATGGTGGAACCAGATAACAAAGGCAATAATTCTTGATTTTTAATTTCAAGAACCATAATCCAGGTGTGAGACCAATGGATCAGGAAAAAAACATATGTGATCTGCTGACAAAAACTGAGGACTGATGGATGTGGGGGGGAGGGGGGAATGGGCATGGAGGAGGGCACTTTGGGGATGAGCACTGAGTGTTATGTAGAAACTAATTTGACAATAAACTATTTGTAAAAAAATAAAAAGAAAAAAAAAAGAAAAAAAAAGAAACAAACAAACAAAAAAATGTGATCAACTCTCCTCGATACATTTTCCTCTCTACTACAAATATAAGGAATAAGATAAAAGTTATGTCAGGAAGTATAACAAAGGAAAGGTATTAACACAACTGTAAAAGTAACAAAAATTGTAAAAAAATTAACTTGAAAAGAAATGTACAGGACTAACATAGAGAAAATTATTATAAAAATAACTCTACTGAGAGGTGCCTTGGTGGCTCAGTTGGTTGAGTGTCCAATTGGTTTTAACTCAGGTCATGATCCTAGGGTCATTGGATTGAGCCCCATATCGGGCTCTGTGCTGAGTCTGGAATCTGTTTGGGATTCTCTCTCTCCCTCTCTTTCCACCCCTCCCTTACTCAAGTGCACTCTCTCTTTCTCTCTCTTTCTAAAATTAAAAAAATAATTACTGAGGGTCAGGAAAGAAGACAGGAGTAAATATAGGGACATTTTGTTTTGGGTAAAGACACCTAAGATTACAAGAACGTTAATTCTCCCAAAATTAATTTATAAAGTTCATGGATCCCCCATCAAAATCCGGCTAGGGTTATTTGTGGATCATGTTATTTGACAACATGATCCCAAAGATCAAATGGAAGAACAAACATGCAGGAATATCTGAGAAATTCTGAGTTGGGAGAGATGAGAAAACATGCTCCACCTCAAATTAAAATGTATCATGGAGTGGTCAGAAATGTTTTAATCATGCTCCTGATGAGGGAATAAAAAGTCAGATCAATGCAGTGGAATGGAGATCTGAAATAGAGTCCACGGTATATGGGAGTTTTGTTTCCCTGAATGTATTGCAGTCATTTCCCAATTTTCTTTATTGTGGTTCTCCTACTTCTTTTATTAGCTTCCTCCTATCCTTTCTCCTCAAAACATCCAGAGTCATTACCTAAGAACATAATAGAGTTAGGTAGGCCTTGACTTAAAAGCTTTCAGTGGGTTTCCATGCAGTTGGAATCCATATTCCTACCCTGACTCTCTCAGTCCAATAGGCCTGCTAACCTCATCTTGTAGCACACATCTCCATGCTCAGCATGTCTCAGCCACACCAGCTGTTTCTTGCCTTTAAAGAACAGGATCTTTTTCCTTAGAGCCCATGCACGTGCTGCTCCTTCCATGGGGGGGGGGGGGGGGGGGGGGGAGGTGCTTATTCCCTGGCTCTTTGCGGGGCTCATGCTTTGAGCTCTGGCTTAAATTCAATGGAACTTCCTCCCAGCAGTCTGTAAGAGGAAGGTGTCCTGCATCTCCACCCCATCATTCTCTCTCTGCACTGGATTTGCTTCCTTCTCAGCACCTTGCAGGTTGTACTTACTCATTGGCCTGCTTGTTATGGTGTCCTCCACCATCCTGCGCTGCACGATGTGACAGTACGTGGCCTGGACTGTGGTTCCAGCATCTAGCACAGTAGGCTTTAAACTGGTATTTGCTGAGTGAGAAAAGGAATGCATGCAGAAATGAGTAATAAAAGTAGATCTCCAAATCGATGGATTATTGAAGAAACGAAGTTGGGGCAACAAAATAGCCCTTCAAAACAAAACAAAATAATAGCACGCATTCTTTATTTTCTTACACGAAAATCAATTTAAGGTTAATCAAAGTTTAAAATTTAAATTGCAAAACCATAACATGTTGTAAGGAAACCATCACTGCGTGTTTTCCTGTATTTTGTGTGCTAATACATAAGTATGATTCTTGGTGAATACATGAGTGGGAGATATCCTGATGATGTTTAAGAAATTGCTTTTGGGGGGCCTGGGTGGCTAAGTTGGTTAAGCGCTGGACTTTGGCTCAGGTCGTGATCTCACGTTTGTGAGGTCAAGCCCTGTATCAGCCTCTGTGCTGACAGCTTGGAGCCTGGAGCCTGTTTCAGATTCTCTCTCCCTCTCTCTCTGCTGCTCCCTTACTCACACTATGTCTCTCTTTCTCTCTCTCAAAAATAAAAAAATGAACATTAAATTTTTTTAAAATGACAAGCTTTTATTTTACATTAAAATTTTAACATTACTCTTATGTTAACATATATTTTGCATTCATGTATATACACCTAGAAGCAACATCACTGTCCCTTGTCTTTTAGTTTAAGTTGTTGTAACAGAGACCACCCCAAAGGCAATGGCTTAATCAAGATAGGAGCTTATTTTGGCCTTTAAGGAAGTTATCAAGATAAGCAGTTCAAGATTGGGGGGCGGGGGTGTGACTGTATAGCCTTGACCTGCATCTTCATCTCCCAGCCAATGGGAAGAAGAAAGGGTAAAGGGAAGCACAGGTTATTTTGTTCTGTGGTCAACCTAGAAGTTAGTTACATGGACATGAAGTGTATCTTTTGGGTTCATATCCCACTTAGAACCTAGCCATGGGTAGCCTCAATGGAGGCTGGAAAATGCAGTCTTTAGTTGGACGGCCCTCTTCCAATCTTGGATTAAGAAGTTTATTACTAAAAGACAGGGAGAATGATCATTGATGGATATCTAAGAGTTCTTGCCACAAGGAGGCACTTGACCTACAATACCATGAAGCTTATTTTTTCCTTCTTGTGTTTTGCCTTATATTCATTTTTATAATTAGTTTTATCTGGCTTTCCCCTTTCTGAAACTGCAGATTTGAAGTTTACAGAGAGGGTTATGCTCTTCTGGCCATTATCATCTCCTCCAGGCATTGCCAAAGTTTTCCTCTCCATCTTCTGTTAAGAAACCCATTGCCCTTGAAATATGGACTGATTCAGCAAGCCACACCAGATGTTTCAGCACATTTATGTTCAGCTCTTTGTTTTCAAGATCCTTTCCCCTCTCCCCAAGTCATGGCCATTACCCTGATTTTGAGGGGCAAGGGTCAGCAAACATTCCTGTAAAGGACCAGATAACAAATGTTTTAGGCTGTGTGGGTGACATATAGTCTCTGGTGCATAATTATTTGTTTTGTAACTGTTCAAAATGTACAATTATTGTTAGCTTTCAGACTGCACAAAAACAGGTGGTTGGGCTGCTTTTGGTGCACATGCTGTAGTTTGCTGACCCCACTTGTAGAGTAATGAATGGCAATGGGTGTCTGTATGTCTCTCTTGAACAGTGAGGGAAAGGCAGTTAGTGTTCTGTACTAGATGATATATATCAAAAAACTACAAGGAACACCTTGCTGTGTCTGAGCAATGACTATAACTCTGATGTAGGTAAGTCTTCTGCTAAATAAACACTGCTAAATAAACACTGGCCAGAAATTATGATATTGTCAGTATCATAAAGCTTTATGCTCTATTTATGTCATATCACAAGAATGAAAGTTACAGTTCGTCATACATATCTCAGTGCCTTTTTAAATGTTAGAAATGTCAACCCATTTAAAAATATCTTTGATAGAAAGATGCTGATGATACCCTAACAGCTGACAATATATAGCTTAGAAATGATTTTCTAATTCCTAACTTAAGATATTTACAGATTGCATTCTCTCTGAATATGCATTAAACCATTCACTATATAATTAATCAACAAGTATTTATCAAACAGCTGTCATGTAGCAGGCGCTGTACTAGACTCTGGGAGTGCAACAGTGAACAAATGAAGTCCCTATCTCCAGTAGGGGGAGCTCACGTTCTAGAGACAGACAACAAACGCACACTTCTTAAACATGTAGGATACTGCCAAGGACTATGAAGAGAAAGAAAGTATGGAGGTACGGATATAGATACTGTTGGAAGGATCTATCTTAGAGTGGTCAGGAATCACTAAAATGAGGTGAGAGTTGAACTGATTCAAGAACGCAGTCAGGGAGCAAGTTATACAGGTTCTGAGGGACCAAGTACAAAAGTACTCAGGACTGCTCAGGACCAGGAAGGGGCCAGCTGTCTGGAAAGAGTGGAAGGGAGGGTGTTACAAAGAAGGTCAGAGAGTTATTGAAGCCAGATAGCATAGGACCCTGTAATATGGATTTTATTCTGAGTGAGATGGGAAGACTTCGGAGGGTTTTGAGCAAAGGCGGCTTTTGATCAGACTGAGGTTTTAAAAGGACCACTCCAGCTGCTGTGTAGAGAACAAAGGGCAAGAGTAGAAGCAGGGACACCAGGTGAAAGGTTATTATAACTATACAGGTGAGAGATGACAGTGATTGAACTGGCTGAAGGTAAGAAATGCATTTGTTTTCATGTGGCTCAGCACACACGAAGTAGGTCTCGCTTTAATTGTATTTCTAATCCTGGAGGAATCCAGTACCACCTAATTGTCTATCCTGGGATAGACGTTGGTAGTCAAAGTCTCTTTCAGTGGAAAACAGGCTAATTAAACGAGGATTTATTATGGTTTACTTATATCTCAAAATCTAGACAGTGCTATATTATGATTACTAATAAAGAGTCCTGGCTATAAATTAGGATGATTTCATGAGGTAGTGCTTCCTTTAATATCGAAAGAGATGATGGAATGCTATTTAGAGCTGAGTTATGTAGAACACTAATCTTTCAGCGATGGCTTGATTTTCAGTCCTCTAGTTACATCACTGCATTGCTTTGCTGCAATAAGGAATTAACACAAACAAATGTAACTCTATGCCTAACAATGCAAGGCAACAAGTGCATATAAACAAAGCTAAGCTCTCAGTGGATCCCCAGTTAATTGTTGTGAATGACAACTGAGTGATGCATTGTAGCATTTAAAAATTAGCACACTATGATGTGCTGAGGACATTATAATAAATGAGAGGACTATAAATACCTTCTAAGTCAACATATTTTTCTTATTTACTGCCAGGAAGTAGATGCAGAGTAAATGAAGGCTTCCATTCTCTGCCATTTTTTGAAGACCACTTCAGTGCTGAGTTTGGATTTTTTTTTTCTGTCCAGCATTTCCCAGACTCACTTACAAGTTGATTTTGGGGTGGTATCTTTTCTTCAAAGACAGAGTATCTTATAATGCAAATGGGTCCTTGACTGATCTTTCTTTTACTTTTTGGGTAGTTGCAGCTTCTATAAAGGAAAGTGTACAGATTGAAATATACTATACAGCTTAATTGATTTTCATATATATGTATACATTCATGTAACTACTACCCAGATCTACATGTAACATATTTACAGCATTCCAGATAACCCTTGCATTTCCTACCAGTTAATACTCCACCAATGGAAATGATATTCTGACCTCTGGCTCCATAGTTTTGCCTTTTTTTGAACTTTTTACAAATAATACACACCCTGTCTCTCTCAAAAATAAATAATAAACATTAAAAAAATGTGGCATGCACACACATATACACACAATGGAATATTACTCAGCCTTTAAAAAGAAAGAATCCTACAACATGGATAAGTCTTGTGGATATTAAGTGAAATAAGACAGTTACAGAAACACAAATAAAGCACAATTCTGCTGCTATGAGGTAGCTGTGAATAGTCAAAATCACAGACAGAGAAAGTAGAACAATAGTTGCTGGGGGCTGAGGAGAAGAGAGCAAATGAGCCGTTGCTCAGGGCATATAGGGTTTCAGTTTTACAAGGTGAAAAAGTTCTAGAGACCTGTTGAACATTGTGCATACAGTTCACATAACTGCACTGGACATTTCAAAACATTTCTCATGGTGAACAAAAAAGATAGATGTTATAACAACCTTATAGCTTTGGTCGAAAAATATCCCTCTCTGCTTTCAGGCAAACATGTCATCAAGAAATGAGATGTTCATAAGCTGTTGTAGAACATAAATGTATTTGCTCACATAGGCTTCTCTGCTCCTCTGCTGCTACGTGGATAGTTCAGGAGGAAATAAGGTCCTTGATATTGAATAAAATTATAAAAGTAATTTTTTAGAAGGCAGTGAGGAGTTATTGCTGATTTATAGAGATTAATAATTTACGAGTACAAGATAGTTATTTTCTAGTTCTCTCTGATTAAATGAATCTGTTGTTGTACTTGTGATCTTTGCAGGAAACAAAAAACTCTGAAGTTACAGCGACTCATTAATAACCTTAGTGAAGCACTCAGTCCTTGACTCAGCCAGTTGCAGGTTGTCAGTGATGAAGTGTAAAGGTGCTCAAGGCCCACCCGGGGAAGGACAGACAGACGCTGCCTCCTGGTGGGCACCAGAGCTTTACAGCAAAGCTGAGGCTTCAGCAAGACATCATAGCTTTCCAAAAAGGGTCATGAATTTAGATAAGCTAGAGAATATGATAGGCATGCGCTTGTTGACAAGTTGCATGCTTTCCAATCAGAATATTATTGTCCTAAATTCAGCTTTCTGAGTTGACCTTACTTGAAAATCGAATAGACTGTTCAGACGCTCAGAAGAAGTAACCATTTATTATCATGGAATTTGTGGATTTGTTCTTCTCTCTATCGGAGCATGAGCCTTTGCGTTAGTCCTGGTGCACGCTTTGGCCTTGGGCCGCTTGCTGCCTGCCTTACCCTGGCCATAGGGCCCAGATCTAATTTCAGACTGAAAGATTGGAATGCTGCCTCCATTTTACTACTTCCTAAATAGAGCCAGAGAATAACATTGTAATGGCTAAAATAAGCAGCATTATTTCTCTCACCGGTCCTGTAATTTTCTATAAGGCAGATAACCTAAATTGTAGAACTGCAATATTGTACATTTTTCCAGGGAACTAAATAAAATTATTAGAATTTTTTAAATATCATAAGCATTTTACATTTTTTCCCATGAATTTATCTTTTTCCTTTCCCCTTCCTTCCTCTCTGTCTCTGTCTCTATCTCTGTCTTTCCCTCCCATATTTTTTAGAGACCAATTGAGTCAGTGTGGAATAGAATGTGAGCTCCAGAATCCCAACAGGGATTTCCCTATCAGTGTGAATCTTACCCCCTAGCCATCTGTTTCTCCTCTTATAAGATAAAGATGATAATAGTAGATCCTTTAGGGTTACTGTAATGATTGCATGAGACATTTTGTGCCTTGCTTGGTAAATGGTAGCCACTATATATTATTAATATATACCAAATAGTATACATACTATGTAACTACAAATAATATCAATCTCACCATATAGTATATACAACATCAGGAACACTGATCTGGAGTAAGAAAACAAAAATAGAAATCTCATAAGAGCAGGCAAAAAGCTAAATTGATGGCCAAACTGTTGATAGAGATCTTGAAACTCTGCAAATTAGATACACAGAAATAAGAGAAAATTAGGAAAACATATGCTTTTAGTCAATGAAATAACAACAATAAAATTGTTGCATTAAATGCACAAAAATTAGTTCAGGCCATAAGCTAACCAAGAAAATTTTCTTTCTTTTTTTTTTAATGTTTACTTATTTTTGAGAGAGGGGGAGAGACAGCATGCAACTAGGGGAAAGACAGAGAGAGAGGGAGACACAGAATCGGAAGCAGGCTCCAGGCTCTGAGCTGTCAGCACAGAGCCCCACATGGGGCTTGAACTCCCAAGCGGTTTGAGATCATGACCTGAGGCGAAGTTGGGCTCTTAACTGCCTGAGCCACCTAGGCACCCTGAGAATTTTCTTAAAATAATCAGCATTTATATTGATAATACTGGTTTAGAGGATGATATTTCTTTGAATTATATTGGAGATGAAAATAACATTGAGCTTACAGATCTCCTGGTCCAACTCGGTGATTTCATAGGGGAAGAGACTGGGGTTGCCAGAGGTTGCACATCTCCTCATGGCAGATCCAGGCCATAACATGGGTCAGTCCCCTGATTGGAGTCCAGGGGCATATCCTACCGGAGCACATAGCTTTAGAATTGTGACAAGATTAAAAAGAAAAAACAAACCCAAACAACATTCATTCTGGAGTGAGAACAGCTTTGCCTTGACATCAGGGATCATTTTTTGCACATGGAATTCAAAGCATTCTGAAGTGATCTTATTATACCTGTGTTCTAAATGGAAAAATAGAAACAGAGATAGGCTCTTGGTTGACTGGCTTTGTAGCCCTGCCTCAGGTACCATAAGTATACCCATCATGCCCACAAATGCTAGCATGTTAACCTGCTAGAGGTACCTGCCCCTGATGCTGAGACATCTTACACCTTGCTTTCTACTGCCTGTGTTTATAGTCCTTTGTCATTGTCTCCTTTTTGCCAAATGTAAGATTCCCAAAGGACTGTTTTTTCTGTTGTTCATAGATAAATCTCCAACTTCCTGAACAGTGCCCAGCATATATTTAATTATCAATGGAAGCCATGCCATTGCTTGAATGAATGAACAAAAATTTGATAGAAGCCAAGACACTTGAATTGACAGATGAATTTTGGGCCATATGTGTCGGCTCTTATTTTTAGACCTCTCCTATCTATTGTCCAATCCCATGTTCTGCAACCATGGGTCAAAGGAGCCTACCCTTGGATCATACCCTGGATTCCAGGACACAACACAGCACTTTCTGTGTTCCATTCAAGACTGACAGGAAAGAAGATTAGAACAGGTATATTCTAGAAGACTGGACTTAAGAGGTATAAAAGGGAATCCTCCAAACCTTGTGCATGGTGAGAGCTTTGTTGACACTTCGTCAGTGAAGTCAGTGAAGCCACCCCTCTGGGAAAAGGCATAAAACCAAACACCATGTACATAAACCCAGTGAAGCCAAACAGGGCCTCCCTCCAGTGGAATCAGTCAACCACCATTATCAAGTTAACTCACCTTTCAGACTGGGTGTACAAGGTTTCCTTTAGCTTAGAATTGTACTTGATTTTCATTTGAAGCATGCCTCACCAGCATAAGCAGACTGCTCAGTCACAGCTGTCAGAGATCTGGGCAGCAAAACAGCTTTAGGCTTTTGCTTTGTTTCTTTAAGCAAAACAGTTTCACTTTCTGTGGTGAAACAGTCCTCTATCAATGACCTCCAGTGTAAACAGAGAACTCTCCACATGCACTGCCTTTTTGCACCTCTCCTGACCACCAGATGTTGTCTACAGGATCTTATAAGATTTCCCAACAGGGTCTGTTTTGGGTAAAAGGATAGATGAGCCATCCAATGGATCTTCAAGATGGACAAGCACTTCTAAGCCTTGGGGGTGTTTTCAGTGTCCTCTGCTTCAGCCTTCTTGGCTCCAATTTTTATGCTGTCATGTGATCAACAATAATACACAAGGGTTAGAAGGAAAGATGCTGTTAAGTAGGCTGAAAAGAGAAAAAAAAAACAAAAAAGAGCATCTACAATACAATGACTCCATGCACATAAGTGACCAGGTCTCCTGACAGTCAGACTCTGTTGCTGCACAGGCCACTGGTAATACCTAACCAGCACACCCATCAAAATACCTTGTCGGATCCTTGGGGGAAAAAGGCCTTAATTTATGACCCCAACACAAGATAGTCATAAGGTTGGGAGGAACCTTCTCTTGTAAGCAATCCTGGACCCTATGCAGCTCTAAAGACAGCTGGAATATGTGTGGATAGCACTGAATTACAATAATACCTATTGACTGAAGAAAACCATTTTGTGGCCTTAGAGTATGGGGACAATATTTGTGAGGGATATGGCCATTATCAAAAAAGAAAGTTAACAAAGAAAGGAAGTAGAAGTGGCTTTTGTGGCTTTGGTGAGGTTCCATTTCATTCTATAGCTGTGTCCCTGGTGACCCATTCCACTGTACACTGGTTCCTACACTTGTTGGGAAGCCAAAGTGTGTGGCTCTCCAGTGAGTCTCTAAAGAGAAGACCAGTACGACTGTCCCTTCTTCTGCCTGGCCTCCCCGAATGTGGCAAGAGTTCAGATTATTCTACAGGTCATCAGGCTGTAAGCTTAAGACAGGAAGTCTCAAGAATTGTTTTTGCAAATAGATTATTATCAGAGGAAATGTCAGCTGAGCCAGGAGCATTATTCTTCCAATGGACCTGGGTGTTGAGGGATTTAATTGGGGTGAATGGTTGAGCAAGACAAAGATGGTTTTTCCTTGGGGAACTGTGTACTCTGTAAAAGGGCCAAAATAGAAATGCTTACACAATGACTTTCTTCCTAAAAATTTGGAACACTTCAGAAATGCCCATTAATTGTATTCTCAGCTCAACTCTGAAGGTTAGTAGACTGATGATCAAATAGGTTTTCTGGGAAGTTACATATATGCCCGTAACTCCTTACATGGCATTGTGGGTTTTTTCCCCCCTTTTTTAATGTTTGTTTTTGAGAGAGAGAGAGAGAGAGTGAGCAGGGGAGAAGCAGAGAGAGAGGATAACAGGGCTTATGAAGTGAGATCTGTGTTGACAGCAGACAGCCCAATGTGGGGCTCAAACTCACAAACCACAAAATCATGCCCTGAGCCGAAGTTGGATGCTCAAACAACTGAACCGCCCAGGCACCCCTCCTTGTAAGGGATTGTATACTCATTAGAAAAACTGAAAATTTATTGAGTACCATCACCAAATATCATCAAGGACTGCAAATTCAAACCGTATGCTGGGAGAGGAGTTTGGAGATATTTGGAGGGTCTGAGGAATAATCAGCTCATCAAGTCTTCCTACAGCTTCTTTTTTTCAATTTCAATGTTTGAGCACTGGCTATTTTCACTTGTTTTGTCTTGTATGGAGAAATTTGATTCTAAAGTCTGTTATAGGAGGTTTGCATCTTTCCACCATTTCTGCCTTGGGAAGGTAGATGCTATATTATTTGGTGTGTAAATATTCATGATGATCACATCTTCATTGTGACCTGGAGTCTTTTACACAATAAAGCAGCAGTACCCAGAATATTCTGTGATGTCCACTCACTTTCTGTGGCATCCGATAGAACTTTTGTGACAATGGACATGGTGTCTGCCCAGTTTAAATTGATTCATTAAATAAAATTTTTAAAAATCAGGTCTTCAGTCACATTACCCACATTTCAAATGCTCAGTCGCTGTTATTGCTAGCTGCTGCAGAATTGGACAGCATGGTTATACAGTGTCTTCTTTGTCTTGCTTCTTATTAGCTGGAATTCTGTCTTGCCTGTTATCAAAGCCTTGACCCCTGTTTTCCTTGTGTTTGCTTTTAACTGGAACAATTTGGCTAACATTTTATTTTTAACCTTTCTGGGTTACTTGGTTTTAGGCAAGTCTCTTGTACAGAGCACAGAGTTGAATCTTGCTTTTTATCTTAGGGTAAGTCCGTTTGCATGTATTGATATAACCTCTATGTTTGATCTCATGTCTTTCATTTTTTGTACATATTGTAAATGCTAGTAATGCCATCTCTTTTTAGTTAATGTGTCCTGGCTTCATGCTGTGAGCAAACTAAAATTAGCTGGCATCCATCTCTTTCTTCACTCATCTCTCATCCGCTTTCCAATTTTAGTCAATAATATTATCTTTCTTAGTGTTTACCTTTATAGACTTAGGCTTCTACAATTCAGCTTGTCAGCATTAAATGATCTCCTATGACTTCCTCCAACTGCTCATGATGCAATTAATATTCTAGTTACTGCATTCTCTCCCCTCTTTTTTCCTCCAATATTTTATTATGAAAATTTCCAAACCGACAGCAAAGCTGAAAGATTTTCCCATTAGGCACCCATACCCCCACTGGTTAGATGCTACCATTAACATTTTACTATATTTGTTTTATCAATATGTGTCCATCCATCCATCCTTCTGTCCATCTGTCAGTCCATGTCATTCTTTTATGCACTTCAAAATAAATTGCAGACATTAGTACATTTACCCTTAAATACCTGAGTGTACATATCACTAACTAGAGTTTGAATATTTTTAAAGGTATTTTCCTTTTGGTGTAAAATGTGCATGTTGTAAAGCACCTCAATCTTATGTACATCTTTGCTAGTTTTGAAAATTGCACACATCTGTGTAACTTGACCCCCTCCCCCCACAAGACATAGAACATCACCGTTGTCCCCAGAACATTCCCTGTGTTCATTTCATATTAATCCCCACACAACAACTAGAGGTGTAAACTTCTGATTTTTTGCCACCATAAATTCATTTTACCTGTTTTAGAACTTCACAGAAATAGAATCAGACAGTATGTACTCTTTTGGGTAAGGTTTCCTTCACTCGGCATCATGCCTTTGAGGTGTGTTGAGGTGATTTAGTCCTATTTGTGGCTCAGTGGTGTTTTATTGTAAGAACATATGGTGTTTTGTATATTCTCTTATTAATGCATGCTTTGTTTCCATTTGAGGTGACTATGAGTAACTCTTGTATGAACATTTTTGTACAAGTGGTTTTCACCAGCTTTCAAATTTCTCTTTGGCTAGTACCTACAGGTAGAATTACTGGGTCAATGGTATGACATAGGTGTAGGTTTAGATCATGAGAAACTTTGGGACTATTTCCCAGCCAGTTTGTATTCACACCAACAGAGTATAGGAGGACTGTTTGCCCTGCCTCCTTGCCAACATTTGCTGTTGTTAATCTTTTTAAATTTTAGCCGTTCTGGCGGATGTGTACTGGTATCTTATTATGGTTTTAATTTGCATTTCCCTGATGACTAATGACATTGAGCACTCTTCATTTGCTTACAGGCCACTTACATATGTATCAAGTGTGTATTAAAATATTCTGTCCATCTTACAGTTGGGTTGTTTGTCTCTTTGTTATTGAGTTGTAGGCTTATTTGTGCCATATGCTAGATACCAGTTATTTGTCAGATATATATTTTGTGAATATTTTCTGCTAGTCTGTGGCTTATTCATGTTCATAACAGTGTCTTTTGATAAGGACCCATCTTCTGGTTTGATACATGTAATTTTTTATTTCAAAAATGTTATAGTTAATTGCTTTCAGCAACCTAAGAAGCTTTTGTCTACCCGAAGTTACTGGGATGTTTTCTTAGGCTGTGTTCTAAATGCTTTATTGTGTTAGCCTAAAAAGTTTTTTTGTAATGTTTATTTTCAAGAAAGAGAGAGAGACAGAGCACGAGCAGATGAGGAGCTGAGAGAGAGGGATACAGAATCTGAAGCAGGCTCCAGGCTCTGAGCTGTCAGCGTAGAGCCTGATGTAGGGCTTGAAACCACAGACTGTGAGATCATGACCTGAGCCAAAGTTGGACACTGAACTGAATGAGCCACCCAGGTGCCCTATTGTTTTAGCTTTTACATCTGATCCTTTTCTTTCCCTTTTCCTCCCATATTTTGTTACATGTGTTAGTGTTACAATATCAGAATGTATAACATTTGCATATTATTTTTCTTCCCTTATTTTCAAATTGATTTTAGTCCTATTTCCTTAAAGAAAATGTTAATGTTTAATTGTTTTTTTGAGAGAGAGAGAGCTGGGGAGGGGCAAAGGGAGAGGGAGACACAGAAGCTAAGCAGGCTCCAGGCTCTGAGCTGTTATGACAGTACAGAGCCCAACAAGGGGCTTGAACCCATGGATCATGAGGTCATAACCTGAGCTGAAGTCAGATGCTTAACTAACTGAGCCACCCACGTGCCCCTATTTTAGTCCTATTTCTAATGATTTTTATGCCGCCCTTCTGCCACCCCATTCCTTTGCCAGGTTACCCCCAGTCATCTTGTGGTTGGGAAAGCTTGTCCTATAGTTTCTGAAGAAGGGTGCCTGGGTACAGTATTCTCTGATTGTTAGCCTCCATACACTAGGGACAGTCAGGATTGAAAAAAACATCTTTGGTTCATATTTTCTTGCTTTGATTAGTATTTTAAATATTAGTTATTTTCTGTTGTTTATTAGTTTCTATAGGCACAGGATGAGAAATCCATTTATTTTAGACTATTTTCTTAAGATCTACATGTAACCAGTTTCATGTCAACATCATCTTCAGGGCCATATAGAGAGCTGCCTTGTGAAT